TGAAACAAGTATGTGCCTGATGCCATATTAAGTCATGTATTTATATGAATGAACAAGCCATCGCACCTTCCTTTATAAATTTTATTTATTTTTTTGGTGCACATTTGCTTTTTTTCTAGTCTTTAGCTCTAATAAAACAAGAAGCAAGTCTACCTTGCTCCCTGCTGAATCTCTAGGTCCTGGGATAGTGTCTGGAACCTTTTTGGTGCTTAGTAAATATTTGCTAAATGAATGAAAACAAATAGTGACACTATCGTATGCTGTACCTGAATAGGAGTTTGCATAAAGTCCTTAGGAGTCCCAGAAGTACAAGAATAAGCTGGGGGACCAGAGAGGCAGGCAGGTAAATTGAGACTTAAGGGAGTAGGCATTTCCCAAGAAGAGGAGGAAAGGACTGGGAGGGCCATTTCAGGCAGAGTGCTGGAGAGGTCAGCCCGAGAGCGGCATGCCAGGGAGGGAAGGACACTGAGCTGAGCGCTCGGGTAAGCACAACCTGGGGCCAGAAATGCAAGGCCCTCTTCAGGAGCTGCGGCTTACCCCCTGTGGGGGGACGGCCAGAGGGAAAGGAAGTGTTACTCCCAGTGTTTGTGTCCCAGTGCTGCAGAAGCTAAGGGTTTCCCGGGGCGGAGGAGTGGGTGGGTGGGGACAGGTTAAATCGTCTCTCAATCAAAATCACTTCATGCATTTTTCTTTGGATGGGATTAGTTTTCAGTCACTGCAAGTGATTTTCAACCATATAAGCTGATTTGGGAAGCAATACTGGCTCTTTCAGAAATTATTTCTGCAGCCCTTCCCAGTTCGTAAAATTGATTTGTTGGGATGGAAATAAAACTAAAACTTAAAAGTTCTTAACTTGCAGTCGTTGTTGTATTTTCACTGGATTATTTCAATAGGTCCATGACACAATTCATAAGAGTGTTCTTACAAATGCTAAAAGAAAACCTGTTCTTCAGAAAGGAAAAACGTCCGTGGAAACACCTTCCATTAGTGCACCACGCAGGCGTGGAGAGCGAGCTGAGTTATCTGAGTTATCCTCGCGGCGGGGAGGGAGCGCTGACCTCTGCCCTGGGCCGGGCAGGCTCTGAGGCAGACTGAGGATGGCACGGGCGCCCGCGGTGCCGCAGGCGGCTGGCGGGGACAGCACAGCGCGTGGCCACAGCAGAGCGGGCCTCCCTTCACGGGGAGCGCCGCAGCGAGGGGCTGCGGGCAGGGCCGAGGCGTGCCCCTGCCCCGGGCCTGGGGCCTTCGCACTCACCGGCCGCTTTCATCGCGGGGGCAGGCGTTACTTGGCCCGCTTCCCGGAGAAGGAAACTGAGGTTTGGGGTCTGGTAGTTTGGGTGTGGCGGCCTCTAGTCCATGGTGGGGACTCCAGCGCCCCACAGCAGACACCGCGCAGGGCGAGCCGCTGGGCTAAGCCCTCCTCTCAGCTTCCAGAGGACACTGCGGCGGGAAGGCCTGCGCGCCTGTCCTGACTCCTAGTGAAGTCTGCTGACCATCGGCCCAAATGCACCCATCCCTTCTACCCCTTCTACCCCGTACCAGATAAAGGAGAGAGACCGGGGGGACTTAATGTATTATAATGGAGGCATTGAAAATGTATATAAGCTTGCAGCTCCTGGCTAAGGCCACGTGAGTCACAAAGCTATCGATTTGGCACTAGCGAGCCAGGAGTGTGAAGAGCTGAGAAACGTACTTAGGGTTTATGTAACCCGTGAGGTGAAATGTTGTGCTGAACGGCAGAGTGGTGGTGACATTTTGTGCACAAAAGGAAAAGACCTGGTTTGTTCTCCTTCTGTTATTTACTAAATAGAGGTCACAGCGAGCAAGCGGTCGTGCCCATGAAGCGGGGCCAAGAGCACGGCGCTGCTGGGAGAAGCCGATACGGTCTCCATGCCGGTCCCAGGAGATGGTTCCAAGCTCCGCTTCTACTTTCCACAAAGAACTCCAAGAGAGTCGCAAAGCCAAGACCAAAGTTCCCAAAGACTGTGAATTAGGGTCATTTACTTGTTCCCCCTAAGAGAGTTAAAAGCAAAACAAAACAAAAACCTCTCAGGTGCCGGTAATTTTGAAAAATATGATTTGAAAAGCAGTACATTTTAAGAACTTGTTTGCAAAATTATGAATTAATATGTGCTCCTAGCCTAAGGCCAAAACATCCCAGTATGTGAAAAAGTTTTTTAAAAAGCTATATATCTATTACTGCTGTCTAAGCTTTCATGGTAATTTGCATGCACTGGGGAATTAAATGGATTTGTGACACAAATTTACATTAATTTATTCAGTAAGTAATGGCATATTTTAAGGGGATTCAAAGTGATCATAATAATGGCAAGCCAACAAATCTCTGACAATTAGCATTGCAATGAATGTAAAAACACAGGGGATGGGCCTAGAAATGAAGGTGCTTTTCAGAGGTCATGCCCCAGAACGTCTTATATATTTACAAGACATATGGCCAAACGAATTCTGCGTAGTCTGTGCAAGTGACAATCATGTCAAAATTCAACAAGAACGGGAGAAACAATTTGAGAACTGGCTTTAAAAGTGGCTATTGGGAGAAGAAAGCAAATGAAACAGTTACTGAATAAAACCAGAGATGACTGAAGTGAATACTTTTGAGTTTGCTCAATAGGAAAGAATTGTTTCAAAATCCAGTGTGAATCTGTTTCTAAAAGATTGAGGTTACATGGCTTACTGCTCAGAAATACTTTTATAAAAGGGTACATCTACATTTCCAAGGTGATCCAATTTATGTTTCAAGTTGTTGTGCTTAAATCTTGAAGTAGAAACAAAATACAAAAAACAAAAAAAAAAGGTACATAGGGTTGTCTTGACCCGCTAATTAATTCATTATTTCTTCTGCTATCTTGGGACTTCCACCTCTCTATAGCTTAAAGTTGTGGTTCTCAACTTTAGTACTCCAGGGCCCCACCACACCGTTGACTGGATAAACCTGGGGTATGCTCTGGAATCTGCGTTTTAACAAGACTTACAGGAGGTTCTGATGTAGATGAACTGGAGCCCACACCTTGAGAAATTGGGCCTTAGACCAATTTCCAAGGGTGAGCTCTGAATCTCCACCTTTATTTTGGAGTGGCTGGTTATAACATTTTATTACCATAAACTTTACCAAACCACTGTGTCTGGCAGCACAGAGCCAGGATAAAAAACAGTTCCTGACCTTGGGAAAATCCCATTTCTTCATATTTAAAATAAGAGTTGGACTAAACGCTGTCTAGACTCCTATGTCGTCCTAATTCTTTATATGCATATCTGATGCCTGGCAGATATTCCTTGAAGATTATGACTCATGTGTTGGCCAGTGTGGATGGAATAAGCCAGGAAAAACAGAAATCAGTCATTGGGCCATTAAATCAAGATTAAATGAGGTTCCTTTCCCCACCCTCACAGTTTCATCACAACCTAGGGAGCTGGAATGGCAATTAGATATATTTGCTGCTTAAATAAAAAAGATTTATCTTGTTTTCTTAAAATTTTAAGGAACTATCTACATATAATCATGTATCAGAAGTTGGATGAATTAATTGCCAAGCTGCCATCTCTGTGTGGATGGTTGATGATTAGTATAAAATTGTCTTTAGAATACTTTTTAGTGAGTCGGTCACCAACAGAGTTAACACAACCAACATCATTTATGTTATAAACAGATGAATGCAGAGGGTTCTCATTTGACTAGCTTTATTTTAAATGAAAAACCAATTCTTTTGCTTGATGCCATAGAAAATTGTTGTTTTGTTTTTATATGAGACAAGGACTGTGAGATTAAGTCAGAAAACGAGTAGGCTATTCAAATAGTCACACTGGAAACACTTTATATTGGAGAAATCACGACTTACATTTTTTGGTGGGTATTTTACATGATAAAAGTGATTTTTAAAAATCTGGTTTTTGAGAGTTAATTTCTGTCACAAACACAAATTTACTCTATATTTCCTTAAAACTACTACAAATAGCAATAAAAGAAATTTCCCCTTCTTATAATTATTCATTTAAAACAACAGCATGTTACACAATACTAGTAATTAATATTTTTAAAAATGTACAGCTTATTAAAAGACACTTGCAAATAGTTGTAGCAAACGTTATGAATCTCATTCATTCCTTCATTCCTTCACCCACGGGTACACCAGACACTCACTGTGCGCTGGCTGCCAAGAGCTAGATGCCGCTTTAGGCTCAGGAGGTGGGGGAGGGGCACCGAACAAAGTAACTTCTGTCCTTATGAGGCTTAAATTCTAAGGGGTTAGAAAGACAATAAACCAGTAAGGGAACGAACCTGTAGTCTAACAAATGCTAAGTAGAGAGTGCAATAATACTAAGGGACAAGGGTGATGGGAAATTTTATATTGATGTGTCGAAACAGCCACTCTGGTGAGGTGCCATTGAGCAGACACCCAAATGGACTGAGGAATGAGCCATAAAATCACTGAGGAAAGAGTTCCAGGCAGAGAAACAAAAACCAAATATCTACAACATTCTAAAAAGTAGAACATGAATTTGAAAAACCTAGGCTTTTTCAAAACTATTGGAGGCTCTCCGGTAGCTTAAGTTCTCTCTTTCCCACTAAGCCTCTGCGACTACTCAAATCCTAGTGACCTCCTGCTCCCTGAACAGAAGAATTTAACTTGTCATTTAACACAACTAACTGCTGCTTTCTTCTGGGTCGGTGGTAGGATGAGTCAGGTCTCCTTGGCTGTAAACTTAAAAACAAGGATCATGCTTTGTGCTGTTTCTGACACCAACTCCCCACCTCCACCCTACATGTCCTGGTGTTGAACCTATGTTAGATTCTTAATAAAGATATTTGATTAACCAAAGGCTATGTATGCAAAATTATTTGCAAGTTAAAATTTTTAATAGGAAATGTTTCCGTGTCAGGATACTCTGGGTATGGTATGGAATCACTAATTTCATTTGCAATTGTACACACACCTCTACAGATAAAAAAAACTTACTTAAAAGGAGAAAAACACAACAAATGAGGAGATATATTAAAAGGCTTTATTCACAATAGAGAAATTTTACAAATATAGTTTTTAAAAATTATGTGTCAATCTATTATGTTTCCTATAACATTAGAGATTTATATAAAGTTGGAAATGACAGAATGGATTTATGCACAAATCAAAAACAATCATTGTAAAGAATGGGTAACACATATGAAGGTGTTATGACAAATGCTGATTCCCGTAAATCGCCATACAACTTATACGTGTAATACTAATTGCACAAAGTATACCAAAAACATATACAGAAACAGAAAATTAAGTGCTATTTTAATTATTCACCTTTTAGGTGAAATTGCTGAAAATGATTGAAAGACAGTATCTACCTAAGGACTTCAGTTGATTAAAATGATTAACACAAAATAGAACTTTAATTAAATTACACCACTATAATATTAATCTCTTACCTTGTTTACATTTTTGGTGTTTTGTAACTTATGTTAAAAAATCCAAGTTCTAGAATTGAAAAAACTTTATTCTTGCCATTGGCAGAACAATGTCTAGTACAATCTTTTTTGCCTACTTATACCGGGGTACAAAAAGTACATTATAGTGCAGTGTGTACATAAACCTGACATTAAAATCCAATCTGCTGCAGAAATACATATAAGCTTTGTGCTCTTTCAAATCAAATTTAAAAGCAAATAAAATAAGTTAACTTAAATTGTTAGCCCAAGGATGTTTATATGAAGACTATAATCTAAATACATATGGCCCAATTTTTACAAGAATCTTTTATATTTTGCCTTTAAGTCCTGGGAAAAAAGAACTCTCACAATCCATTCATTTCCTAATGAGCTGAATATATGAGTGGAAGATATTCTGGGTCTCAAAACACATTAACATGGCAATAATGCTGTATTAAAGGATATTTTTCATTTCCTAATTTTATTAATTTATTCTTTGATATGTTGTTTGTATACCAATGTACAATACTGAAAAAAGAACAGGTCACACAGAGTGGTCCTTTCAGACAAAGGAAATCTTTTGAAACACCTTTAAAAGCTGAAATAGCTAAAACAATTAAGTCTATAGAGATCCAAGAAAATAACTGTCTTTAAAAATACTAGGTTGAACCATATGAAATTGTTGATATTGGATAGTTTTTAAACTACAAATGCAGCAACTTCATATGCTTCAGCTTAATCCACGGGGTTGCACTGATTTATCTGACCACTGTCAGTTGAGAATGCAGGTGGTTAAAGTCTTTGTACCTCAGAACATACTTCATCATATTAGCCCTTTCGTGGGAAAAAATATATATAGTATGATCCAATGTGATAAGAAAATACAAGGTGTCATCAAATCTATTCTTGGGAAAACCACACATATCTCAAAACAATGTTTTGAAGAATCATATCATTATTTTGATCTGCTATAGGACTGCAGGGGATTGGAAGCACCCACTCCTACATGTTCTTTCTAAGCTGGGATATCTATGTTGAATTTAACCAGACAAAATAGACTATATTCTTATTTGACCTAAACGTTTATTAGATTTTCCTAACTGACCATGAATAGATACACTGATAAAGCATCTTTCAGAATTAATTCTGCTTTCATAAACTGAAATGAAATAATTGACTACATTTTAGAAAGGGGCCTTTTCAAATCTGAAAAATCTGACCCAAATGTAATGCTTTCTTTACTTCAAGAAAAAAAGAGTTAAAGATGAAATTCAAATTAAAAACCATATTAAATATTCACCTTCTCTTTAGAGAGACCTAATTTTTCATATATTCAGTAAAAAGCAAAAGCTAACACCCTAAGAGTAATACTACTTCCCTTTAAAAAATATAATTGAGTGATAGCAGAGATCTGCAAACTTGTAAGCTCACTTTGTTGTGTGATGGGGAATGGAAGAAATTAACCAGTACATGATCCAGAAGTGACACAGAACACTTCAAGTAAAATTTGAGAACTAATTCGCAAATTAGGAAACACTAACATAATTCATCAACAAAAATACAATGTGGTTCCGATAAAATGAGGTCAACATGAGATGATCCTTTTGGAATGACATTCTGTTTTGAATTAAAATATATTTTAGAAGACATTCTATCAAATAATGATAGATCCGCATAAGAAGGCTGTCACAGTTGTAAGATCTGTCTCTGGTGGATAGACAAACCATATTAACATGAAATTAAAAAGGAAAAAAGTTTTTTTAATATTTAATTTATTATTATGGCTTTTTGCAACATGGCAAAACATTACAGCTTAAAGCAGACATCATCTCCTCATAGAGGAGGAAAGAGTTTTGCAGTCAAATCAAAATTGTAATTAAGAGGTCACTGGTATACCATCCTATTCAGTCTAATAAAAATGATACTACGCCTTCATGAACTCCAGAGAGAACAGATTACATAAAATAAAACAATCAGTGGTCTGCTGACTGAATATTAAAGGGTACAATAAGGAATTTGAGTCTATCTAAGCCTATGATAATAAACATAAAAGACTGCAAAACAATTTTAGAACTTAGAATAACGACAGACCTAGTAATAAAAATTCATCATGTGCCTGAATACCAGAAGAGGAACTATTAAGGTATGCAGTGATGGGAATGGAGCAGAGTAAAATATAAAATGTCTTATTATTCATGGACTTCCACTTCTTTTTCACTTGAACAGAGTATAGGGAGAAGATGTGCCTCGGTATTGAAGATCCAGTGTTTCAGTGGAAGTAGGTCGTCATCAGAAAATATTAAGTATAGATATCTAGAGAGAGAAACATGAGTACATGAGGCAGTAAAACCACAGAGGCACGGCAAAAACCACATCAGTGTCTCCATTCATCTGACGGAGAACCACGGGCAACGGTCAAGTACAGCAAAGCCCTGCGGGGAGGCGCTCTAATGCGGGGCCGAGGAGCTGCTCTGCCCTGAGGCCGGTGTAGGAGGGCCTGCAAAGCAGGCCCCAGGCACGGCAATGACAAAAACCTCCAGGCGCGGCCACGCACGCGAATGGCACTCAGGGGCCGTCACAGTGGAGTGGCCGAATGTGTCGCGATAAGGACACCGGCAGAGGCCTGTCCGGCTCCCCGCGCTCACACGTGCAGTGGCTTTTACTTACTTCAGCGTCTCCGCCAGGAAGAAGCTCTGCTGCACGTCGTCGTAGCTGTTCTGTCTGTGGTAAACGTCCCTGAGGCCCGAATAGCCCCCGTCCACCCGGCAGTGACTCTCCAGGGCCTGCGTCAGAGACGGGAAACACCCAAAGGAAAAAACAGTCACAAGGCAGTCAGCTGACTGTCACTAATTTACCAGATTGTCGGATTCAAATAAAATAAGGATTCGAGTGGAATTGACAGATTGTAACAGCGTTAGGTGGAAATGAAAAAAACACACACCACCACCCTCTATCAAATGTAAATGCAAATAAAGTATGAAAAGTTAAAGGATATACGGACAAGATATCTTCTCACCTCATTTGAAACATTGAGTTTGGGAATCATTTTTCAGTAATAGTTCCCACTTCCTACTCTAATCTAGATGAAACCATGGACCATGGGCCAAATCCCATCGGCTGTCTGCTTTGGTAAATGAAGGGTCACGGAAACCACAGCCACACTCGTTTGTTTCTGCGTTGTCTGTGGCTCCTTCTTGGCTGTAATGGCAGCTGAGCAGTTGCCTGTAGCCCACAAACCTAATTCTTTCCGGCCCTTATAGAAAACAGTTGCTGACCCCTGGTCTAGAAAGATTATTCATGTCACATGGGATTATAAACCGCTGGTTAAGAAAGTGTGCTGGACCCAAACCAGCTGCTACTATTATCAGAACATCTTATCGCTTAAAAATAGATTGTGGAGTATTAATTAGTGATATTGGTGACAGAGATAAAAGGAAATGGAAAGCAGTGAAAAAAATGTGGCTGGTATGCATTTCTGAAATAGTTTTTTCTTTTCTTTAGTCTGGGATGGGAGAAGATGGCATGAATCCTCCGGTAACTATCTAGAGGGAAAGGATGCTAATTCCTCTAGCTGTCTGACTATAATGAGTATTTGGAAAAGAGATGGGTTGGGCAGTATGGGAATGAAAATTTAGGTAACAACCTAAAGTAACCTGCCTTCTACATTGTCTGAAGCCACTAAGTTGACTGCTCTTTGCATCCTGCCGTTACATTGGCTGCTTTGCTAGTTACCAGGCCTAGTCATCTCTAGAAAAGTTAGATGGCATCCTATCAATCCTATTAACTATAAGGTCACATAAAAACTGCCATCTGAAACCTGGTTCTAATTCACAGAATGTGGGTCAAAAAAATAAACTTTAAGGCTACAAAGCCTAATATTTATGTTGAAATAAAGAAAAGATAGAAAACGTGAACCAGGTAAAGTTATTCCTAGGGTTCTCGTGCCATTTTACATTTATTTTTTAATTTTGTCTTATGCATCATAACCCTACCCCCTTTTTCATGTGCATATTTATACTCTAATTTTTTCCTCCCATTTAGGTAAACTAACAAAAAAGATGGAGAATACAGGCCTTGCCTTATGAGTTGAGAAAAAATCTTTATCGGCTAGAAAATGGTTTTGGAGGAAAACATGGCTCTAAGAATGCAGAGCCCAGGAAAGAGCAGAGAGAAAGCAAACCCGTGAGCAGTGACGGGCAGTGTGTGCTCAGCTCCCATCTGCAGATACTGATAATGAGGAAATTGATTTTGTACCCTGGGGCCGGAGGGCAGAGGGAAGGCGCTTGGGGTCAGAGGAGAAGCATTTAATTACCAGGTTAAAGAAAATCTAGCTGGTAGGCTACATGAATAAAGAAAGTCTCATGATTTGGTACTTTTTAAAAGCCCCTGGGAAAATAAGATCAACTTAAGAAAAAAAGCTTTGATTATATTCTTAGCTGCAGACAATGAGCCAAGTGCGGGAAAGCCTACAGAAAGGAACTTTCAGGTCCAATTATTTTTTTCCTTCCTTCCTTTTTTGATCAAAGTTCCTTTTGATCAATGGTCAAATACCAGATACATTGGAGTAGGTTAACAATTATTTGTAAAAAAAAAAAAAAAAAAAAAAAAAAAAAAAAAAAAAAAAAAAGCCTGANTAAACTAACAAAAAAGATGGAGAATACAGGCCTTGCCTTATGAGTTGAGAAAAAATCTTTATCGGCTAGAAAATGGTTTTGGAGGAAAACATGGCTCTAAGAATGCAGAGCCCAGGAAAGAGCAGAGAGAAAGCAAACCCGTGAGCAGTGACGGGCAGTGTGTGCTCAGCTCCCATCTGCAGATACTGATAATGAGGAAATTGATTTTGTACCCTGGGGCCGGAGGGCAGAGGGAAGGCGCTTGGGGTCAGAGGAGAAGCATTTAATTACCAGGTTAAAGAAAATCTAGCTGGTAGGCTACATGAATAAAGAAAGTCTCATGATTTGGTACTTTTTAAAAGCCCCTGGGAAAATAAGATCAACTTAAGAAAAAAAGCTTTGATTATATTCTTAGCTGCAGACAATGAGCCAAGTGCGGGAAAGCCTACAGAAAGGAACTTTCAGGTCCAATTATTTTTTTCCTTCCTTCCTTTTTTGATCAAAGTTCCTTTTGATCAATGGTCAAATACCAGATACATTGGAGTAGGTTAACAATTATTTGTAAAAAAAAAAAAAAAAGAAAAAAAAAAAAGAAAGAAAGAAAAAGTCGAGATTTAGAAGAAATGAGCAAGTTTATTATTATGGAACATAATGAAATCCTGTTTCCAGACATTTCCTAAAAAATAACTTAGTCATAGAACTTTTTCTTGTTTTTTTTCTTTCTTGAAGTTCTTTGATGAGAAGCTAATGAGAGTGCCAGGTAGCCCCCCCTCCCAGAGAAATTTCTATAAGCTCCTTTTGTTTCAGAAAAAGAGTTGGTTCGGGGGGTTGGCAATACCAAAGCTCACCCCATTTGTTCTTTCTCTTCCATGGTCCTCAGGGGTGAGCCACAGTAGTTCAGAACACAACCTAAAGTTCTAGAGGAGGGGATCGCGTCCCTGCTCGAGACTTGCTAACTGTGGCCTCAGAGGTTCCTGGACCCAGGCGGTGCTCCTGTGGTCAATATGGGGTGGTTGTGACAATAAAACCAGATGAAGACACAGTTAGCACAATACAGGGGCCTGTTAGAAGTCCAGAGAGGCCTAGCTTCTTTTATTTTATTTTTTTCAAGCTTTTTGTATATTTAAAAAAAAGAAAAAAATGTCAAAGATGCATTTTAAGTTAAAAAAAAAATTAAGACTTCAGGTATGTAAAGCTGGGGACATGCAGCTCTCTTGGGCCCCCACAACAGGCCCTGGTTTTACAGAATCTCAACAGTGGAAGGATGTATTTATGTACCAGAGTGTGATAAGAGCATCATTTTACTACAGTCTGTTCTTGGGACTCAGCCTCCGGGCACAGGGACCACCTCGATTTTAGTAAAGGCTTCTATTACTTATTAGTCATATGTGACTGGGATGTTCTAATAGCAAAGAAAAGAGGGATAGAAGAATGTTTACAGCAACTGGAGCTTTGAACACGAGGAAAGACAAACCTGACTCCAAGTGAATGGACTTTTTCAGGCGGGAGAAGGGAAAAGAATAGCAGGCAGCGAGCGCTCAGCCTCACGTCGGAAAGCGCCACCACGGGCACGGGGCAGCCTCCTCCTACCGACCCGGGCAGGTGCACAGCCGACCAACGGAGACTTCCAAAAGCGGGTCCCAGGAACAACGCTAACAATAAGGCTAACTGGGCTGAGTCTGGCCTCAGGACCAGGCAAAATAAACACAGAAGAGTCTGAAAACAAGGATCAAGCCTGGGGAGGTAGGAGCAGGAACTGGGAAGACAAATCGTTCTGAGAACCAGAACGTGCATGTGGAAGAGGTTAGATTCAGGGGCAGGAGGCAATGTCTGTGCAAATAAGGAAACGAGCATGCCTCCGTGAGGTTACCCACGACCGTGGAGGCACTGTGCAATCTACACGCACCTGCACTTACAGACATTATCTCATCTATATTTACCTACATATATCTGAATGTGTATGTATAACTTATAGTATGAGCTTTATCAGAATATTAATCATACCTTATTACAACTTTAGTAAATTAGGAGGAATTTAATAAAGTTCTTCATGACATGATTGAGAAAAAGCAAAAGAACTACCCAGGTAGATGGTTTTTCTGTTAGGTCAGTTCCCAAGTGCTGGACACCTGTGACTAATGGCTCGCTGGCAACCTGGGCAGGAAGTCTCTAGTGCTGTCTGCTGGATTGTATACTTTAATATCTTGTTGGACACTGTTAAGAAATGTAGTTAAGACATGGAAAGCAGGTTTACCAAGTGCATCGCTGAAAGGAGGCTGGGAAGGGAGTGTGTGTCAGAAGACAGGAAGAAACTGGGTGAAAACAAGCATGGAGCAAGAGATGTCTCAACAGTAATCAGGGTTGCAGTTAACGTCATTTGGCCATAGTTTTGGTGAAAGCCAGGGGTTTTATAAATCTACTACAGGAACAAGTTGGACCACTGGCTGTAGGAAATAGCTCTTAGAAGAGAGGGTCTTGAGTCACAGTGCTTAGCCCTGAAAGAACACAGCTGGGAACCACATCCTGAGAAGGTGGCTGGAAAGCACCACTGAGGCGAGCAACAGTCGGCGGAAGGTGCTGTCTTCGGATAACTGAGGAGCTGAATGTATGAGAGGGGATTACAGTTTCAGTAGCTATAGAGCACAGTGCACCGTAAATTCTGGTTTTAAAAGGAGTAACTTTCTAGTACTTCCAGCCATTAAAAAATTACATGAATTACATTATTAGTAGTGTATTCCCGTTTGCTACAAAGTCCTTGAATTGATGAGGAATAGCTATCAGGCAAAGAAATGCAGAGGAGTCTTTCCTTTGGGTGGAATCTGGACTAGGTGATTTTTAGGGTCTCCTATGTTTTAATTTGGGTTCTCCTAAACACAGCATGAGACGAGAGTTGCACGCAGGAAACGTGTGTGGGGGTGATATCAGCAGTGGGGAGAGTGAAGCAGGGCAGGCAGAGGAGCCAGTGAAGTACGCTGAGCAGGTGACAGCGGTGTGCAGCAAGGGCTCGCTCCCGCTTAAACCCTCTGAGGAACCGTGCAGAACACATCTCAGAACCATTCCTCAGAGGAGGGAGGCTGGGAGAGCTATCCATCAGCTCCAGTATCTTTGGCTGAGGGCTGCTCCTGGGACCATGAGCTCTCCCACGCCCCCCAGGCCCTCGGCAGCTGCCCGGGAAGGAGCCCTGTCAGAACTGCTGGGGCAACGGGCACCCAAGGCAACGCTGCCAGCACGGGAGGGCATCGCCCACGGCAGCTGCGGCCGAAACACAAACACAGGGGGCCACGGGGACGCAGCAGCCACAAAGTGTTGCCACACCTTCTGAGTCTATGACTTTCGTGCTTTAGAAAAGGCAAGAGCCCCCAGCACTCCTCCCTTTCCACTGTATCTCAAGTCCTAGCAGAAGTTTCTAGGGGCAAAAACAGGGGGATCCCCATGTTGTGATAGTGAAACAACTTCAGATCGCATTTTACACTAAAGTTCCTAACGCGTCAAATCAACCTTATTACTTCACGAACAAACTCCCCTGAGGACCAAGCAAACCAAAGCTCCCTGCCGTATTACAATATTTACTTACCTTCCAGTTTTGACCAGGTCTCTGTCACACATTTTTCACATTTTAACATCTCTAAAATTGTCATGTCATAATTTAATTGGTAGTGTTGTACTTTCTTAGTGGTATAAAAAATAATGGTTCTTATCAATCATGGTGTTTTAGATTTGATGAACTATGTTATTCCTGCTATTTTTAATTTCAAGTGGTATTTGCAAGGTGAATACTAGAATACTAGCCTTTATTCCTTTGCTGGCCTATTGAAGACCAAAATAATTCCCCATCACCAGAACTTAGATGAAATGTAATTTTAATACATTTTTTTGGGGAAAAATTTTTTTAAAGAAATTGAAATTACTGCTAACTAAACATAATTAGAAAACTGCAAAAAAAAAAAGGCTAAAAGAACTGCTTTACTTAAAATGACTGATGAATAGTGAGTGATAAGACACACTAGAGGAACAGGGTAACAAGCAAGATTCATCAACGGCTTCCTAAGGCATTAAATTTTACACAAAGGCAATATTCATCTTCCATTTCCTGAGAGAAGTTACTCCTAACAGACTGTTTTTAAAGACAGCTAACTTTCTAACAAAGAGTGCTTGAGAATGTGAGTGTAATTCAGGTGTGTGTGTGTGTGTGTGTGTGTGTGTGTGTGTATATGAAACTATTATTATCTTAAGCAAAGCTGAAGCCAGGAATATAAGATGACTTAACTGAAAACGCAGAGTCAAAGCATTAAAAATTATAGAAAAGTTGATATGCTAGTAGCATAAGCACCACTGAACATTTTTTTCTGGGACATTTATCTATAAGAAACATAAGCAAATTAAAATGTCACCTCTACAGCTTCCCAGGCCCATTTCCTGTACTTTGGATCATGAGTCAGTCGCCACATGTACATGTAAGTCTCAACAACCTCCGGCCGTAGGATGTAGTATTTTTCATTCTGCCTTGTAGCAATGGCTTCAACACCGCCATCGAATCTGAAAGCTTCTGGTCCCAGTTTCACAACTGAAGAATAAGGAATGGGTGACAAAGGTTACTGTCCTGGACAATGCTTAGTGTCTAGAACGTAATTGAAATGAGAAAGTACTTTCAACATTCAAGAATGCTGACAAATCGCTTTAAGGAATAGTTAGCAACATCATATAGTCAATACTATTCAATACACTTTTAAAATTTAGACATCTAAGAGTCCACCTGAGGAAATTGTAATGATTTTTTGTTTTCTTTCATTTAACCACGATTTACTGAGCACCACCGGGTAGGTGCCAGGCACCACCAAATACCTTAAGCTAGCTAGCGGTTGTAAATTCATAGTCATTATGTCATGAAAGGTCATTTAATCTTTGTGCTTCAAACCCTATGTAATAAGGAGGGAGCCAAAGTCAAATTCTATTTCATAGAGACACTGGAAAGATTAATAATAATTTACAAAAATATATTAAATTTCTTTTGCACCGGGACAGAAACTTGTATTCAATGTTATTTACCTACAGCAAGGTCAATAAGTTAGACTGGCTTAATGTCTTATGGCCCAGGTTTCTGTTTCTTGGCAAACTAAGAGGAAATATTTTTATGTAGGAAAGTAGTGTCTTTTAAACTGAAAATAGAAATTTGTTTAAGATATTAATCATGATCATCACGTCTCGTCAGGCACAGTGGGTATTCTTTTGAGGGTGGCAACAACCGAGTTCCTTAGTAAAGGAAATAAAAGCATGTGAGATAGGCTGTGAATGAAGAATAACATGGACTCACATGTGCGATTGTAAGATTCGTGACAGGTGCGGGCAATCTCAGCCCCGAGTTTAAGGTAGTGCTGGGTCCGGTCCTTAGGAGCATCTTCTGCCCCAAGCGCAAACATGCCGCCGGCAAAGCAGGTCAGGTGGCCCATCTTGTGTTCTAGGAGGCCCCCTTTCCACTCTGCGATGTAAGTCAGTCCCCTGCTAGACTTGCGGATCAAGTGAGTCTCGATCGCCTGGAAACAACACTTATTTTCAGCATTGGTAATCTCTTCTCAAGTTTATACTAAAAATATCCTCCCCCCAACATTAAAAAAAGATACCATCACTCATAATTTGAATTTGGTGTTACAAATCCAATTCACCCCGAAACTGTATGTGATTGCTTTCTGTCTCTTTCCTCTGCTCTATGCCTTATTAGTTTGGTTGGTTAGAATTAACATTGGCGGGCCAGCCCAGTCGGTTTTCCTTAGTTCCGTGATCAAATACTTATAGTCCACACACCTAAAAAGCTGTCTCCTTTTCAAAGACAGGCCCCGGGTGCAGTGGTAACAGCTGGTTTAGTGCATTTTCATGTCCACACGTGGAGAACCAACACAGAGCACAGGCCCTACCGTGAGTGCGGAACAGAGCTCACTCGTGCGTGCACTCCAGGCTGGCGGCACAACCCTTTCTTTTCCACTCAAAACAGAGTGGACGGAGGGAGGGCCTGTTCTCGTCACATTATTTGGCTTCGAATTCCAGCTTTGATAAACGGTTTTCTATCTGTGAACTTGGTGAGTAATTCGCTCACTATATTCCGAAATCTCAGTATTTGTATTCACAAAATGGGAATCGTAGTAGCTGCTGAGAAAACTCTGCAGCATTCTGTTCATAAAGTGGTCAGTATTGGGACTAACAGGTGATAAAGGCCACTTATCACATCAGTCACATCTCCACTGTGGTAACACCTGAATTAAGTTCCGCCCTAATAATTCTGTTACAAAGTACATCAGCATACAACGAATAAGTGTTTTTTAAAAAGAATAAAGATCAGTAAATTTGGGAGAAATGATAATGTGTACAAAAATTATTTATAAAACACCTATTATTTCTGCCCCAGGACTGTTGATATTCTTTTCATGGGGATGGAGAAAGTAAAATAAGCCTTATATTTGAAAACGCAAAAATGAAGTATGTTTGGAATTACTAATTTTCAATTACTGCAACAGGAAATGTCTCCTCCCCCACAATTACTTCAGAGGGGGACAAGAGCTATGGCAGTGTCTATACCTTTTACACTATTATCAAAAAAGAAGGGTTTTTAGGAAGCACATTTGGGAATATTAGACACAGAGAAAATTTCTGATAGAGAAGAATGAATTAAAATGAATACATAGGCAGATAAAACTTTCCGCACCTTTATGAAGTAAACAAATGAAACCAAGATGGTAATAAATAAACAAACACACTACTGTGCTCATTAACTGTGGTTAAGCTAATTTTATCGATGGTCTAGTTATTACATTAATATTTCATTCTTATTTAATGCGACTGAACATCTTAGCTATTTACACTTCTCATAGCACAAACTGCAATAAAGTCCTTCAAGCAGATACCTGTTCATCACCCAATAAATTATTCTTTCTACATAGCAAGAACAATAGCAATAGCTTTTGAGCATGGATTAGAGAAACATTATTACCCTCTTATGGATCCTGCATAAAGCACTTTATTATTTTTGGCATGACTCTGACCAAATGGCTACTTCTCAAAATAAATTAGACAGCAAAGTTCCAAGGCCTTTAAAGCAATATTTGTATGGCAATTGAAAAATGTAAATAAATACAGAGGAGGAAAAAACAGTCTTTAGTAGCTCTAAAAAAGCGTTGTGTCAAGTCTAGAGAGAATTAATTAGGAACAAAGAGTATTGTATATTTTGTGATTTTTATCCTTTTGGATTTGAAAAAAATTAGTTTGATGAAGCTTGTAGAATCCTAATTGTCTAATACATCATCCGCACAGGTACCATTCACTCCAATGGGCCTGTGGCAGGGTGAGCATCCATCACTGTGGATTCTTAGTATGGTCTCCAGAGAAGGCCATGATAGCTAATTACTAAAACAATAAAAAAACCCAGACCGCTCTGGGATGAAACACTTTCTGAAACCCACTGGAAGCTAAAACTGATGAACCATATCTCCTGTAACTCAGCTGTCCAGAACAATAATGTAAGGGATCTTCTCCCTGATCATAATGATCTCTGGCTAAGTACAACTAAACAAAGAAACTTTGCTGTGTGAGACATGGCTACTTCTTGAAATCAGAAGTTCACATGTTCTAGCTTTGCTTTCTAAGTTGAAAACACAATGGGTTGAAAGTGCTTTTACTATTAAGAGAAACAAGAAACACTTTGACTTCAATTGTTCTTAATGGATTTTCCTGTCAATGGTTTGTCTAAATACAATATGTTAAAAGCTGTGTGGGTCTAGTGCTAGAAACTGAGGGAAAATACTTCAAAGGATATTTTAAAGTTGTTTTTCCTGGAACATCAGGTCTTAGGGGGCCAAGATTAGAATAATTAAAATGTCTGCCAGGATAGTAATTAAAAAATGACATAATGGAAACCATACTGTATGAAGAATTCCCTAAGTTAAAACCTAAACCTCATAGGAATGAAGACAAATAAACCTGGAAGAGGCCATGTGGACACATCCTAGTAGGCTTTCAATGTTTATCACATGCCTTTATTAAGATAAAGGCTGTGCTAAATGAAGGCCAATGTTCCAACTAAGGTGTTTTAATTCCTACATGGGAAATAGGGGAGTTGTATCTGCTCTATTAGGGAAGTTCACTATTGTCCTTGAGAGGGGACCAATGTGATATTTAATCTGGTCAGCCAGAGCAAAAAAAGTTGCATTTGTATTTAAATAAATAAGTCTATGTCAAAATCACCCAGACCTCTTCTTAGGGAGACCAATTTTAGAATAATGGCTACATTATTGGAATTCCAAATTTCCATTTTTCCCCCTCCCATGAATTACTACTCTCAGTTATAAAAAAATTTCTAAGCAGTCAATTAAAAGGTCAATTTTCTGATGAGTTAGCCATAATTTTACAACATTATTTGAGATGCCTGATAATAATAAATATGAAAAATAAATATGTTACCATATAAGCTACTTTTAACAGTCACAAGGGTACTTGATTCTGCTACAAAACTTGTTCCTGAAAAGTTTGGTACAAGTTCAAGTATTTTATAATTTTCTAAAATAATTTTCTTCTTTTACTTTATTTACTTTCAAATTTTATTTTCATTTTTGATTGAAGCTTAGTTTATTCTTCCACTGGCCAACTCTTGTAGACATTGCTAAGTAGTTTCTGACTTATTTCACTAACTTACTGCCTGTAAAGAAATATTGACATGTAGTATAGAAGTTCTATTCACAAATAAATCCAGAGTGGTGAGGTAAGAAGAAGCAGGTGTTGACACACATCTTAGTTTGAATTTTGGTTTCACACTCAACATCTCTGAAGTTCAGTTGTCTTACCTGTAATACAATCTGTAACACACGGTGAATAACATCTAAACTACTGTGAGGAAACAAACTAGTACTTTAAAGCAGCTACCTAACACTACTTAGCACACAGTACCCGATTCAACAAGCGTTCATTCTCTCTCATTTCTCCTTCATTTTAAAGGACCTCTGAAAACTATTAATACTTTTCTCTTACATATTAGTTTGGCTAGTTCAGGTTTTTATTTGAGAGTACTGTCCATATATCTCTGGAATAAGTTTACTTCAAATACAGTTAGGTAAATGGAGGTAGGCAATTTTAAAGTAGAAATTTTCAGGATAAAAATTTCCTCACCATAATTTTAATTGACTCTAAGCAGGGAACTCATGCTCATTGAAGAACAATACCTTTTTTCAGATATGCTGAAGCTTTTTTTTCCAGATATAATCTTCACTGAGGTTTGAACCATGTAAAAAAACTTAAATGCCCTCTCAGAACTACATACATCAAGTATGATAACTATTGTTATAGTTATATTAGCAGATATTTGACTCTGCCTAACTGGAAATAATTTGTAACTCATGTCATATTCCATTTTTTTCATTAAGCTTGATTAATAAGTAAGTTATAAGTTAGAGCTGAGTGGCAAAGATGATTTAACTATTGGGTTTACCTTAACAGCATCAAAATACATCTCCTTAGCTTGTTGATCTGTCTTGTCAGACATTAGCCATGATTTTAGCAAATATTCATAAAAGCTGTCTCCGAGTCCTCCAACTGATACATGATCTGCATGAGAGGGAAATGAATTTTAGAGTGATTCAGCCTTTAATTCAGATAATGCAGCAAAATCATATTAGCAACTAGGATGCAAAACCCTACGTCAACTACAACTCAATGTTACATTTAAATTCCAACAAATCTCATTTTCAGAAAGATATTCTGAAATGAGCAGATGTGCTGTTAACTAATGCAATATATTCTAAATAATTACCAGGGTAGTTTTGTAAGCAGGAAGTTAAAAATATATATATAATGCCCCCTCCTTTCAAAAATCTGGTTCTCTAGTAAAAATACCAAATTAAAAATGTTTCACAGTATATACTCAAATAAATATTTAATTGCATTAGCTCTCAATAATATAAGTCATGTCAAAGCTATGAGTATTAGCAAATCTTTTTAAAAGGTGGCTTGCAATAAAACAAGAAGCTCCTCAGCTTCTTGTGGTTTATTATTATTACAATTATTGTTAGTGTTATCAATCTGAAGGGTCAGAACCCTTGGGTGGGGTGGTAAGAAAGAAGATATGGCAGAAGTATTTCTTCTTTGTACACCATTTCTACAATCCTCCCCCACTGCCCTTTATTATGCCAGATCCACTACATACATCATGAACAATCTTGCAACTTGTTGGGTGGGTATGCTCATTAAAAGTGAGAAAACTGAGGTTCACAGACGCTAAATGAGATTACAGCCTTGGTAAGTGCCACCTGATTCAACCCACAAGAGGCTGGCATGTGGATCTGCCTGCTCTTCACCACATAACACTACATGAATTCTCTTGCCTTTTATACTTTTATTTTCCAAGCATGGTTAGCTACAAAAACAGATGTAATCTATTTGAAATATCATTCCTAGAATTCATAGAGAACTTGAGCATTAAGAAAGATGCTCTTATTTTGAAAAATTGCATTGGGTGGTACTTAGTAAAGGACTGAACAAAGCAAAGCTCTTCTAAGTCAATATTAATAAGGACGACACCTATTCAAGCTAGAAGGGTTACATTTTTAAGTGGTTAAATATGTGATTTTATTATTAAAGTCCAGAATTACAGTTTTAATTTTAATGTAAAATGAGTGCTTTTACAATTGTAAAGCTGGTTCTTAAAATAGCAGTGTTTGGAGTGACCTTTACAGTTTCCTAAATAAATCAGCGCAGAAACCTCTGACATTTAAAAATTAAATAGACCAAGACCTATCTCATCAATAATGAGCCCTGTTGTTATAAACATGATCGCAGGAGACAAATGCAAGTGATGCATGGCCGGGCAAGGCACTGTCCGGTTCCTGTCAACGTAACAAGGGCTGAAGGAGGTAATGGGAAACGCTGGCCATGACCCAGATAAAGCCCCAGAGGTAAAGCAATGAGAGCTGAAGGCGAACAGCCAGAACAGCTTCATTCTCTTCCTCACTCGGCTTATGATTCTATAACGGATGAAAGAAGCAAGACTGGACATTTGGTGATTTTTTAAAAAGGAAAAAGGATTACATATTAATACATGTATTTTAATTAATTTTGGCAAGTGCTAGTTAATTTTCTATTTTTTGTTTGTTTCCTGCCTATAAAATTTTCATGTTTGAGAAGAATCAAAATAAAGGAACATAGAGGAGCAACAAGAAAAAAAGTCCTTTTGAGATTCTAGTGAATCACTCACTAAGCCTCCCCTGGGCCTGGATGACTGTTTGTGTTGGCAACAGAGTCCCGTGTAAATATCTTAGCGGGTCTAGAAGGGACGGTGCCTGATTTGGCCAGCAGGAAAGGACTGCCTATTGCTAGGAAGAACATATGTGGTATTTTTATTCCCAAATGCTCTGAGGGTAATGTGCACTACTGTCACTCAAATATTATGTTCTTCTCTAAAAGGGGTAATTTATCTCCCCCCCCAATAGAAATAGGGTCCCATAAAAGGATCCTTAATACTTAAAAAGAGGGGAAAAACAAAACGAATGGCAAAAGGATCAAGACAAAAAGAATTAAATACTCAATAGCTTGGTTTTTTAGTTTTGTAGACTTCATCTGATTCTGAACTTCTCTCCTCAGAGCAATCCCCCCAAAAATGCTGGTGACACTATCTGTATGTTAGTGCTGTTCTATGAATCAAAGAAGGGTGATAATTATTATTGATCGACATGGAGCCCCACATCTGGCCTCAACAGCCACTAGATCTCTCCATATTATCAGTGACCAGGACAAGATGCTGCCCTTTAGCCATAAGTGAGGAGCAGGGAAAACTGTTCAAAGAGAATAAATGGAACCACTACGAAGAGCAGGGGCAGAAAGACAGAGTGGACAGAGTGCGTGAGCGTTCACGAAATTCAAGTTAAGTAAACACCTGCTCGGTGCAAGATACCGTGTGTTGGGTAACAAATATGACTAAGACAAAATCACTGCCCACAGAAGTTTGGATCCTCAGGTTGATGGGTATGTATATGAATCATTAGGAAAGGGCTGTAACAGGAAAACTAACAAATTCCAACCCGGGTGTTGAAGAAGGCCTCCCAGGAGGAATGGCGATTATGGTAAACGGGCCGAGGAAACAGAACAAAGCCAGATCTGGGCATGGCCAAGCAGGCCTTGATTAAAGAATTAAAAAAGAAAAGTGTGCTTTCCTTGTGGTTGGAACACAGGATGGGGCTGGGAGGAGAGACATGGGACTCATCAACCCTGTTTGTTTTTCCGTCAGGAACCTGACCCATAAGCAATCCAAATATAAAGGGCTCTTTGTACCAGGAAACAGGGCCAAATACATAGTATATTTGTGACCCAGAAGGTGAAGCCGGGATGTTGCAGTACAATCGGCTCTTTTGTCCATTTCACAGTGACTCCTAAACCCTAAGCCTCAGGAGGAAAACAGTTAAAGCCAGAGACTTCTCTTCAACGTTTGACTCTTTCATGAGGAGAACCCTACCAACTCTGTCCTTTCAGATAATCACATCTGGTCATCTTGTCCTTAGAAAGCTACTCAAGTCCTGTTTTATCCCAAGTACTCCAGCGGCTCTTGAACTTTTATAGCTTTAGCACCTCTTTACACTTTTAAAAATGAATGAGCACGCCAAAGAAGCTCATCTATGTAATCCTCACCCAAGGATATTTTTTTCATTAATTTCTAGAGAGAGTGGAAGGAAAGGAGGGAGAGGGAGAGAGAGAGAGAAAGAGAGACAGAGGGACAGAGAGACATCGATTAGTTGCCTCCCACATGCATTGAGTGGGGCTGGGGATCGAATCTGCAACCCAGGTATGTGCCCCTGATGGGGAATAGAACCAGGGACCCTTCAGTGCCTGGGCTGGTGCTCTAACCACTGAGCAACACCGGCCAGGGCTTGTTTTTGTAATATTATCAGTATTTACCAAATTGGAAATTAAAGCAGAATTTAATATATTTTTATTAATTTATTTAAATCAATAGTAATATACCCCTATTACAGGTTTTTTTCATGAAAATATGCTATAATTTACAAAACAATAATAATTCGTGAGAAGAGTGACACTAATTTATATTTTTGTAAATCTCTTTAATGTTTCCTGTTCTATAACACAGCTGGATTTTCATATGCTCTACATTCCATCCATATTACATGCTGTCCTGGGCTGAAACAGATGAAGTTGAAGAAAATTCAGCCTCACAGTTACACAGTTGGAAAAGGGAATAGTATTCTAATAGTCTTTTCAGATTATTGTGGATGTTTTTCTATGATACTACAACCAAACTTGACAAGTGATTTTTATTTAAAGGTTAAAGTTTTTTAAAAGTTAACTGCAACGTAGAATTAGAAACCACATCAATGAATTTTTGTACTGTTGCATTGAAAGCTGTTGGTCTGTCTTGCACTCTGAGAGGATCTTTTTCTCTTACATGATTTTGTAAAAGCACACACTGGTCATTTGGAAAATATTGCTCACTGAATTATGCAGATCTTCCAAAGGTTGACACATTTCATTATACAGTATCAGAAAATCACCAGCAATTTCATCAGAATAAGCCGTTAAGTGTTGGTTAAAGGCAATGAGTTCATTATGGTGGCATAGGCAAGTTTTCCAAAATTCTAGTTTTCATTTCGAAGTTCAAATTTTATCACTGGCACAGTGTCCGTTTTCCTTGAAGCGACAGGCTCATTTTCAAGAACACATCTATTAATTACCCAACTCGGAAAAACCAGTTTGTCTTCAGTTGTTCTTTCAAGTAGAGCTGGTGACCGTGAAAAAGCGAGTTCAGCTCAGAACTCAGGCAATCACACAAGTGCTTTTCCGAGAGGCAACCACCACTCCGTATTATGCAGAAGTGCTTTAAATGTACTTCCAACTTAATCACACAGAACGCTACAAAGACGCCTATTCAATGGCTGAGATTTACGACAATCAATAATTTATTTTTGCTTCATTAAGAACATTCCTAAGTGAAACTGGCTTTTCTGTCTTTCTTTTTTTCAAACCTGCTGTGAAGATTTAGAACATGACTGTTAGTACTACGTAGAGCCCCATCACGGTTCTCACTGAGGCTTTAGTAGTTTTGCCCACCAATACTTTTGCAACCTAACTGCAAATGGCAACACAGCGACAGAAGGTCTTAGTATTATTATAAAAACACCTTCGAGCCCTGGTTAGTTTGTCTCAGTGGTTCAAGTGTCAGCCCGCAGACCTAAGGGTTGTGGGTTCTATTCCCGGTCAAGGGCATGTACCTCGGTTGCAGGTTTGATCCCTGCCCCGGTTAGGGAGTTTGAGAGAGGCAGCCAATAAATATCTCTCTCTCTCCCCCTCCCTCCTTCCCTTCCGCTGTCTCTAAAAATCAATGGAAAAAATATCCTCAGGTAAGGGTGTTCAAACAAACAAAAAACCATCTTTGACCTTGCAGAACCCCTGAAAGGTCTCAGGGATATCCAGTGATCGGCTGACCGCACTGAGGCTAAGTGGCAACCCTGGTTATGGTTTTATGATCTGAATAGCTAGGCCTTCCCTAGCCATTACTAACACACAGACATAGATTTTAGCATTTTCTCTACTAAATTATTCTTTAAGCAAAGTGCTTCTAAAGCAGCAGTGAGGCACAGCCATCTAAGAATATATGATATTTAAGTATAATGAAAAAACTCAAATTAGAGTAAAATTTTAAGGCATTCTAATGGTCTCGGCACAGCTAGGCATCTCACTTAGTATTCTTCACTGGCTCTCAGTTGCTGCTTAATCTACCAGTTCTTCCAAATCAGCTTGAGAACATTTCTTTCAACTACTGTGAATCATTACACCCCTGGTTAGAGTCTGCCAGGATCTCAAGTGAGGGCTTCTGTCATAATACTTTCTCCTACCCTAACGTAGCTCCACTGGCAAGAAACCTTTACCTGCTGGCTTAAAATTAAGTAGAGAAAATACCCTGTCTGCTCTTTCAATTTCTGAACCCTTGAAGATTCAGGATCCTCTCTCATCTTGTAGTCAAGCAGAAAGAAACTGTTATGAAGTAGAAATATCTGGCTACTCTACATAAAACTCTGATGATAGTCGTTAAAACAAAGGGACAATTTCCCCCCTATCCACATGACCAGCTTTTCACAAGCTAACATTCCCACACTACCCTGACTAGACCTTCCCTTTCTGATTCATAGCTTTAAATGTGCTTATATGTCATCATGCTCACAGTTATGCATGAAAAATAAACACTCTAGTTTCCTGGTAACACGTACTGTCTGTCTTATAACAGAAGCCTATTTATTAAAGGAATCAGGTCTTCTTTTCCCTTCTCTAAACATCTCCCAAAAGGTTCTGCTTTATTCTGCATTTTCTCTCTGTTATCATAACAGTGCTGGGTACCACGCAGAGCTAAAACAATGCTAATCTTTTGACTTACATTGACCCCACTGTCCACTGCTGGGATTCAGGTAGTTAGGATAAAGGCCTTGTGGTTTTTCCAGGTTGTTCAGTACTGATCGAATATTCATTACCTACAACAGAAAATAAAATGTTACTATGAAAATCTACAAAACAATTTTGGTGCCATTCTTCTTTCTTTCTTGATTATAGTTTCCCATATTAGAAAAAAGTTGATTTAAATGATGCAGAATTAGAACAAAGATAGTCGCCACCAGCTTACAAAAATAATAGGCAGTAAGTGAACCCAGTCACACTGATCTACCATATGCCAGACGCTATACAAGGGATTGGGGATATTTCAGTAGATAAGCAAAGTCCATTCCAGTGGGATGAGAAAGATATTAAATGAAGAAATATAATATTTACAATGTGAGTACTATAACATGTGGTAATAAATGCTAGGGGAAAAAACACAAGTGGTAACGGCAGAAACGACGTGAAGTGGTGAGGTTGTACTACGTTACTCAGGGTGGCCTGGGGAGGCTGATGGAAGAGTATTTGAGCAATATTTTAAGACATGAAGGAGCAAGCCAAGCAGAAATTGGAGAAAGGGCAACCTGGGCAGGGGATGAGCAAGTGCAGAAGCCACGAGAAGAGAGTGGGTTTGGAAAACAGGAAGCAAAGGGGAGACACAGGCCTTGCAGGTCAGGGGGCCTATTTTATGCTGAATGTGATGGGAAGCCACTGAAGACTTGTGTCTTTAACTGGTGTGACTGGGGTGTGAGGGAGGCAGTGGTCAGGAGGCTACTGCAGAGTCCAGGTGAGAGATAATGGACACTTGGACCAGGGTGGCAGCAGAGGTTAACAGCACAGAGCCCAAGGATTTCTTGATGCTTTGGACCTGAAGTTTACCAGAAAGAGAGGAACCAGGGTGACCTCAAGGGTTTTGGTCTGAGCCACTGGGTAAACTAAGGTGCCAGTTACCAAGTTAGTGAAGACTGGAGTGGAAGCAGGTCTGGGGGTCGAGTCTGAGACATTTTAAGTGGGAACTGTCTATGAGAGTGAAATGTTGAATAGGTACTTGGATATGGGGTCTGGAGGTCAGGGGACAGGTTGGGACTGAAATGGTAAGTTTGCAGTCAACAGCATTTAGATAATGTGTAAACCCACGGACGAAGCAGTGCAAGGAGTGCACATGAAAGGAAGAGGCCCAGGGTGGAGTCCTGGCTTTCTAATATTCAGAGGTTGGGTGCGGAGGGGGATCCCAGAGAGCAGAGCAGGGAGCGTTTGTGTAAATGAAAGGCTGCCCATCACAGAACCTCATAAACAGCGATATTAAACGTGGTTGTTCTTTTCTACATCCAATGTTATCAAATCTCTCAGCAGAGGATATTGTTTCTCAAAAGCAATGCTTTGCAATGCAAGGCGCAGTGGAGAATCTCACCTTTTCAGCAAAGATGGGGTTTCCTGACAAGTGGCTCAAGTGCACAAACTCCAGATGCAGGGTCCCGAATTCAGCCAGAATACTGCTCCCTCCCGAGGCCCAGGGCCAGTTCCTTCCAATCCCACTGAACAGGAGAAGAGGTTGAAGAGTTATGGGTCAGATTAATTCTATTTTTTTTTTTTTGCTCTAAATAGAAGTGAAAGAGGCAGCTTCTGAATAATGGCTCCTTAGCTCATAGTCTACTCTAGATATTTGAAAATACCCAGGATTGGTATCTTTGACTGACTACCAGTTTCAGGTTTTCACTTCTATTTCCAAGCTGAAAATCAGTGTTGACTAAGTCACAGAGAAGTGCTTGCTACTGAACAAATAAGTATTTTAGCAGGTACAGGGGCCATACAGAGATGTACATCCATTCCAAGTAGAATATTAAACAAAATCAGACCAAAACATCACCACATCCCAAATCCCACCTAAAGCACTTGAGCATTTTAATTAAGTTCAGCCTGAGATTTCATGGACTGTTACACAAGACATTCACATTATATACCCACTTTTCTTGGATACTGGATAAATTTCAAAGATTCATTAGTTATATACTCACACCATACTCTCTCCAGACCTTCCATTTACTGAACTTCCTTTCTTATGTTTCTCCTCCCAATATTACACCTCTAAGTGTATTTTCTAAGGCATTCACTCATTCCCTGACACATTTAATCTATGTTTAAAAATGCCAGCAAAATATGTAATTCAAATTTGAAAGGGGTCAAAGGCAGGAGCTGCAAAAATTATTGCCTCATGGCTCATCTTGGAGAAATGCTCTTTAAAAAGAGGAAGTCCTAAACACAGACACACAATACATATAAAGAGGCTATTGAAACATGGTCATACTCTCTTGGGTACAGTTTATTTCTGGAAAGCCACTTAAAATGTCAAGACATATGTGATAATTCAGATAAAGAACAAAGTCAACGATTCTCCTGACCAACAAATCCCTTTCAGAAATCTGAAAACCCACATTTTGGTTTTTGTTCAGATACCCATTTATTATATGCCTACTATTTGCCTGGGACTATGCATGATACTGGGTTAAAAGATGGTTACGATGCATAAATCACTCTTTTCTTAAAGACCTTATAGTAGAAAGGGAAAGATCTAAGAATGAATGATTCCAACTGAATGTGGCAAATGCCAAGACAAATGTGTGGAGAGTTTCTGAGCACCTAGAGGCAGAACGTACGATCCAACACGGTGGGGATCACAGAAGACTTCCTCAAGGAGGGGAGTCCTGAGTTGTTTCTTGAAGGGTAAATAAGAAGCCGTGAAGAAAGAATGGGGGAGGGGAATGTGGGCATGGAGAGACACACAGCAGAAGGACTAGCCGGGACCTGGAGGTAGCTGCTGATACTGGTGAGTGGCGGGCAGGGAAGGTGGCAGGAGAGGCCACAGGTTCCACTGAGGCCAAGCCTGAGTCTTGCGGGCGGCTCACTTTCCTCTCCTTCCAAGCTGGCCTCATTTAAATACTGCTCTTGGTGTCTCCTAAATTTGCTACCCCCCTGTCCTTTCCTTATATTATTCACAGCTCTGGGTAAACCCCCTCCGGTTCTGTTGCTGCTCCTGCTCCTGCTGCAGGGCTGCTGAGGAAGGCGGAGGAGAGGGAACCGGTGAGGACAACCGGCGTCTGACCTCTGAGCTGGCCTCACCCTTATTCCTGATTTCTCTGTAGAGCAAAATCTAGATTTTGTTCCAAAACATGGATTTATAGTAAACCTAGTAGAAAGTACGCCTAAGAGATCTGAAAATCATATATTCATTTATTTTAGAAATGCCTGGTATCTATTAAGCTCTGAGAACGTGAGTCAGTTTCCATTATCATGGTTGGCTCAGATAAAAGGAAGATCCCACCATCCAAGCAGGGTGAACAGCTACCTTCAAACTTTATTAACATATGGCAAATGTGCACAGTAATCGGTCATTAATTTGTTATCGTGGCATTATTTTCTAAAGCCCAACCATTCCATCACTGACCAAAGTCAATAAGCATATTAAGCAAAATTACAAATTTCTAGGTTCTAGAGAAAGCACTAAACACAAAGCCGCAACATATGGAGATGCCAGGACGGGAGGGAGTGAGGACTTCACCCTGGAGCACAGCGTGCTGAGGAACCCGCCCAGTTCCCAGGCCTCCAGGGACGGTGCTTCTCAGTTCGGGCGTCAGAGAGTGCGGTGGGACTCGGGTGGGAAACGGAAGCAGCATATATGTACTAAACTGAAATTCAAATTACTTTTGTACCTAGGCATTTGTTTCCTCCTATTAATGTGGTAAGTCAAGGGAAAACCAGAGTATACTGAACATTCTCAATATGCTTTTAAACAATTAAGGTTTGAAAGGGTTTACATATACTCTCTCCTCTTTTGCACACGTTCATATCAACAGGAAAACAGCATTCTTTTCTATCACTGTTTAATTATATAGGGAGCAAGAGCATTAAAGGCACTGGCAAAGGATATGTCATGCTAACAGAAAGAATGCTGAGTTTAGAGTACAGGGTATGTTTATATGAAAGGACGGCTTTGGTTACTTTTTCAAACTACAGAATTAATGTACTTTAGTAAATTATAAGATCAATGTTTGCATTGGTCAGGGAAGGGTTTCATGAAATCAGAGAAGGCATCATTATATCTAGATTTTAAATAAGGTCATTTGCCTTAGGCAAAGGTTTAAAGACTTGGAGAATGGCTTGGGGGAGCGCATGGGGCACAAACTACGGGCTGTCACAGCAAAAATGTGTGTGTGTGTGTGTGTGTGTGTGTGTGTGTGGCAAATGGCTGCCGACTCTCATAGCACATGTGCAATGAGTGAGAACCAAGTTCTGGTCACTCATAGATCTTTTTCATCTTTAAATTCTATGAGTCTACTCAAGAATCTATATACTTGTATGGCTCTAATGTCTAAAGTGATATATATGGACAATGGGCATTTGACACGAAAATGATGGAGTTGTGACAAAGGGAAATGAGTCTAGAAGGAGTATTGCTCCTTTTTGGTCTGGGGGTCAGGGGTCAGGGTGCCCTGGGCACATCATGATACAGATGGTTAAGCTTTCTAGGTGTCTGGCTCAAAATGAATCTCATCTGAGGGAGTAGGAGATTTAAAATGTCTTCGACTTGATTCAGGGTGGTGAACCCACAATACAATATACAGATGATGTGTTACAGAATTGTACACCTGAAACCTACATAATTTTATTAACCAATGTCACCCCAGTAAATTCAATTAAAAATGTCTTTAACTTCGGTTCCATTATCACAGTATTTTAAAGGCAGTCATGTTTATCTTTAACTATTTTATCTTTATTTTACCAACACTAATAATATTAAAAAAATATTTTAAAGATAAAATAACAGTTTGTGTTCAGAAACTATTAGTTCCACAAGGCAGGCATGAAAGGAAAGAATACTAAAATATTCCAAATTTTGCTACAATGACTGCATTTTAAGCCAAAACCATGAGTCAGCATATGGAAATGTGCACACGAAAAGGCAATTAACATGATTTGGGGAGCTGCCAAGTGTTTGTTTCGGTTCAAGGAATCCAGGAACAGAACCTCAAACTTTTGTATCACTCTAATTTCATTTCTTTCTGTTTCCTCCAATCTCCAGTTTTTCCAATTTAAACTGGAGTATCATTTTAGAGTATAGTTGACACTTGAACAACATGGGTTTGAACAGCAGGGGTCCACTTACATGCAGGTTTTAAAAAATAAATACTGTAAATGTATTTCCTTTTCCTTATGATTTTCTTAATAACATTTTCTTTTTTCTAGCTTACTTTATTGCAAGAATATAGTATATAATACATATAACATATAAAATATGTGTAAATCAACTGTCTATGTTTTCCATAGGGCTTCCAGTCAATAGTAGACTGACTATTAGTAATTAAGGTCTTAGGGAGTCAAAAGTTACCTGTGGATTTTGGACTGCATGGGGGTTGGCATCCCTAACCTCCACATTGTTCAAATGTAAATGTTTCAACTTTTAATTTAATTTAAAATTTCAGTAGTCTACAAAGGAAATATTTCTTTGAAAAGAAAACATCAAAACAAAGAAACAACAACTGATTTTGCAAACAGCAATTAGAATTATGTCTTCAAAAACTGAAGCACTATGAGTCTTTTGAAAATACTAGTTTATTCTTTAGAGGCTTAATTTGAATGTAGTTTATTAGCAGTGGCAATATACTTCCTCATCCTACTGCACCCAAAACAAGAAGGTATAATTATTTACAGACTTCATAGCTTGATAAGCAACGGGCATTATGCTTTTCCTCCTCTCTCCTGGGAACGGTTAATTGTACCAAAGAAAGGAACTACAGTACTAATGATGCTGTTCTACTCAGGACCGAATCCCATGGGAGAGCTGGTAACTCTTTTGCTAGAGCTTTTAATGAATCAAGTAGCCAGAGGCTTGTTCTAGATTGATGGCATATATCTTCAAAATAATCTTAAATTGAGGTACCTAAAGTTATATATTATAGTTACTGCCCAGATACAATTTGAGTCATTAATAAATACATTTGGCTATTTAGTATAATCAAATGCAACAAAAACTGAAGAACTGAAACAATTCCAAAGAGCCAGATGAATATATAAAGCATTACATAGTTATAAAGTCTCAATTAGCTATGACTTTCAAATTTCCTTTTCCTTGATGTTTGCTACTCTATGTGAAATGGGAAATGGGCCAATAAAAATTTTTCTTGAGGATTCATGCCTGAATAATTTCTGATTAGCAGATCAGTAAACAAAGTCCCTTTAAGGTCATAGTCCAGAATACAGTTACTCCTTGGGGGCAATGGAGTTAACAAGTTTTAGAAGAAAAAAATCCCCCCCATTCTGTATATTATGGTAAAGCCTTGTTTATATATGCAAATGGAGAGGCACACATGGATATTTATTTCAAAAGAGCAGCTAATCTAATATTATTCCTTTTGGATTTTAGCACAAATTAGAACAGACTAATTAGAAAGTTCATAAATGATTGTTTCATTTCACTTTATTCCCAGCGCTCATTGATTTTGAGATTAAGTGATTTCACCTTCGCTTATTACAAATGCCT